GAGGTGGGGGCCGGGGGGGAGGACATTAGGTCCCCCCTTTTTAGTATTTAGGGCCCCCACCCGCCGCTCAGGGGTGGGGGCCAGGGGGAAGGACCTTAGGTCCCCCCCATTGTGATTTATTTGCCCCCACCCACCGCGCAGGGGTGGGGGCCGGGGGTGAGGACAGTAAGTCCCCCTCCCCTCATTTTTATGGCCCCCACCCATCGCGCAGAGGTGGGGGTGGGGGCGGGGGGGGAGGACAGTAGGTCCCTCCCCCTCATTATCTTTATGGCCCCCACCCGCCGCCCAGGGGTGGGGGCCAGGGGGGAGGACAGTAGGTCCTCCCCCCCATTGTAATTTATGACCCCCACCCGTAGCACAGGTTTTTTTTTGTTTGTTTGTTTTTTTACAGTGAGCAGCCACTGGCTGCTCACAGGCTTACTAGACATGCCCCTACTCGCTGCATAGCGAGTAGGGGCAGAATTTACTAATACTAAGTAATCTTTACTTAGTATTAGTAAATGTGGCTGAAAGACCAATTTAGGTCTTTCAGCCTTTTAGTAGATAGCTCTCTAATACCGTGGTAATTAGGGAGTTATCTACTAAGCGGCTGCAAGATGCAGCCGCGGATCGGAGTTTGCATGCCACAGTCCAGGTGTTAGTCCCCTTGAAACAACTTTTCCATCACTATTGTGGCCAGAAAGAGTCCCTGTGTGTTTTAAAATTCGCCTGCCTATTGAAGTCTATGGCGGTTCGCCCGGTTCGTGGGTTCGCGAACATTTGCCGAAATTCGCGTTCGCCATTCGCGCACCGAAAATTTCATGTTCGCGACATCACTACTAACCAATGCTCACAAGCAGAAACAGCTGCATTTGGCAGAAAAATACATGAAGACTAATTTTCAGTCCTGTTCACTGATGAGTGCCGTGCAAACCTGGATGGTCCAGATGGATGGAGTAGTGGATGATTGGTGGACGGCCACCCTGTTCCAACAAGGCTGCGACGTCAGCAAGGCGGTGGTGGAGTCATGTTTTGGGCCGGAATCATGGGAAGAGAGCTGGTCGGCCCCTTTAGGGTACCTGAAGGTGTAAAGATGACCTCTGCAAAGTACGTGGAGTTTCTGACTGACCACTTTCTTCCCTGGTACAGAAGGAAGAACTATGCTTTTCGTACCTGCATCAATGGCTGCTATGGGGATAAAAAGAGAGAAAGTCATGGTGTGGCCTCCATCCTCCCCTGACCTCAATCCTTTTGAGAACCTTTGGAGCATCCTCAAGCAAAAGAGGGAGGCAGTTTACATCCATACAGCAGCTCTGGGAGGCTATTCTGACATCTTGCAAACAAATTCAAGCGGAAACTGTCCAAGTGTAATGGGTGCAAGACTTGTGAAGCTGCTATCAAATAAGGAGTCCTATGTTAAAATGTAACGTGACCTGTTAAAATGTTTAAAAAGTTAAAATGTTGTTATAAGTTTGATTGAAAGAGCCTTTGATTTCAGTAAATATGTTGCAAACACAACAAATGACATTTTTCAGTTCTTTACAACCTATAAAGTGTTTTGAAACTTACTGTTATCATTAAGAGGTTTGTTCAATAAAATTTGAATTGTACTCTTAGGTAAATTAGAAAAATATAATTTGCATAATAATTTGGAACAGGGTGTAGGAAAGTCCTAGGGATGTATCCTGTGGACAGTTATGACTTTTAAGATGAAGACTCCATCAATACACCTGTCACTGCGATCAGGTTTCAGTTCCAAGACTTAGACACCCGACCTTTTCAAACTGAGCTTCTACAGTATATTTTTCTGCATGCAATACTGTAAACCAAAAGAAAAAGCAAATCTGAAGTACTTCTTTGCTATATGTTTGCTAAGTTACAAAATACACATTAATTTCTTCACAATAACCTGCAGAGCTGGGCAAGTGCTGACATCT